AGATAGATAGATAGATAGATAGATAGATAGATAGATAGATAGAATATGACACATACCCATTTTTCAATTAATAAAATAAATATAATAACGCATTTTATTTTTAAGGCACCTTTCTGGAAACTCAAACTCAACGTACAAAAGATAAAAACACAATGGCAGAAACAAAGTTAAAACACAGAATAAAAACCATTTAATAAAAAAAAAAATACAAAGTACTTTGTGTTGTCTGTTTCCTAGAAACCCCATCAAGGCACGGCTAATCGAGTACAGATTGTTGTCCCCTGTTGTACTCAGCCTGATCTGCTATCGTCGCTCCTTTAGTTTCGCCTGGCTGTTTTACACCTGCTGTCGGTCTGCCTTCCATGCTAATGTTAGCTGGCTCTATTCTCTATCTATCCTGTCTATTTTCCAATGATGGTTGCAAACACAGCTCTGCCTCAGTGACAGTAGAGCTGTAACCGCTGAAGACCATGGGGCTGTCGCAGAGCTCGCTCCTGTCAGACGCTGGAAGTAACAGTGGATATCATGTTCACGGAGTAGGTTGTTCCAGCACAAGGTTAAACATGCCATTACGGCTGCATTAAGAGGGTTTGGGGTTTACTATTAAACACGTCCTGGTTATAATAAGTTGACTAGAAAAGTGTGCGATATTTATCTTTAAAATAGTTTCTTAAAGTTTGCTGTTGGTGTTCTCCACCCATCACTTTCATCATGATGAGGTGGCATTTGGCAGGTGTCCAAGCCTGTTATCTGTTCACTGATATCATTTCGGTTTATTTTCTGTAAACTTCCCAAAAAAAAAAAAACAACAACAACAAAAAAAAAACACCTGAAATAAATATTAAAGTTAGACATAACTGCCAACACACGTGTATCTCAAGCTGTGCAGTAATTTATGGCAGATTCTATTTCTGACACATGCAGTACATTAAAACAGCCACACGATGGCGACAAATGACTTGATATTCATTTCAGGTTCAAGAAGAATCGCCTGCACTTAAGGCTGGACTGGAGCCTTTCTTTGACTTTATTCTCTCTATAGGGAACACCAGACTTGTAAGTATTTATCTATCTATGCACTTTATTTTTCTTTTAGTATTACATTTTGTAGATTCACCCATATCCCTTTGTCACCACAGAATAAGGAGAGTGATTTGCTGAGAGATCTACTGAAAGCCAATGTGGAAAAGGCAGTCAAGCTGGAAGTGTACAGCTCCAAAACTCAGCGGGTGAGGGAGCTGGAGGTGACACCCAGTAACATGTGGGGTGGTCAGGGGTTGCTGGGCGCCAGCGTTCGCTTCTGCAGCTTCGAGGGAGCCAACGAGAATGTGTGGCACGTGTTGGTAGGTACACTCTTCTACTCTAAGATGCAGGTTTTAAACTCAGGCCACAACATAAATGTTACAGACTTAAAAACCTGCATGTGTGAATTAATTTAATCCTTCAAATGATTATTCAGTCAATTATCCCTTTTTTTTTTTCCTTTTAGGACGTGGAGGAGAATTCTCCTGCATCCCTTGCTGGCCTTATTGCACATGAAGACTTTATTGTCGGGGCTGACCAAGTGTTACAAGATGTAGGGTTTTATCTCTTCTATTTTTTTTTTGTCTAAGACATAAATCATTAGAAAATGTAACTATGAAAACTCATAATACATATCTGTTTTTGTAATTCTGCAGTCAGAGGATTTCTTCTCCTTGATTGAAGCCAATGAGGGGAAATCTCTGAAGCTTTTAGTTTATAACGTGCAGACCGATCAGTGCAGGGAGATTGTGGTGACCCCCAATGGAGCCTGGGGAGGAGAGGGGAGGTCGGTATTTAGCTGTTTGATTTATATAATCACCCAATAACCCAAACTTATGAATCCTGGTTTTTATGAAATAAGTTGTTTTTTTTTACTATAAAGGACCTAAAACTCTAATGTATTTTGTAGCAACCCTAACAATTCTTGTCAAACAGATCAAGCTTTATATTAGCAGATAGAGGTAGATATGTGTCTTCAATCACTTTTCATTAATAATTTGTGACTTCTTTTTTCTGTTGATATTGATACGATGTAACACAGGGACCTAGTTCTCTAAGCTACTTTAGATAAGAGAGCAAGGCAAATAAGTAAAGGATCATCAGTCTTTATAATATAAATGTATTTCAGGGGTTTAGTACATATGTGTGCTTAGGAGGTAACAATTTAAAGGGCTGTACTTCAATACCTGCTTCATTTTAGGTAGATAATTTTTTATTGCAACTTTTCTGCTATTTAGTGGTACAGTGGAGGATTTTCGCAAATGTTTGAAATGACCAGTCCTCTCCACCATTAAAAAAAAATTGCACATGCACAACCCTATACCTGCTCCCGAGAGGGAAAGCTTATTAAATGCGTGTTTAATAACTGAGAGCGTGCACGAGCCCCTTTCTCCTCACTTTTAAAAGTTGCTGTTTGCATCGCTCATACAAGCTTACTTTCCAAAAGAAGATTAGCAATTTTCCCACTATGTCAGACTCACCACCGGTAAAAGAAAAAGGGGATGAGCACGTAGGACGGCCTTACGTAAACATATTACATGAATGATTGACAATTAGGAGGACCACTTATCTTAATAATCCACCTGGAAAAGGAACATCCTCTACTATACTTTTAAGTGCTTTCAAAATGGAGAAAATCTCAAACTAAAGCAAAGATTTCATGTTTTCATCATAAAATGTTCTCTCCCTGATAATTCTGTTCATCTTAGATCATCTCCTTGTTTAAGCACTTTAGGCTTTCATAACATTAGAAAGAGAAACAAAAGTATGGATGCCATATATGCAGAACTGCAGCTTTCTGTAGCATCTGACCTTGTAGCAATGAATTATAATTTGGAGTCCAGACCTGAATTCATTAAATAAAAAATTACCTAAATAACAGATCTGAGTGGCATTAAGATATCTTTCTAAATTCAATGACATGAAAAGGTTTGTCATTCATAGGTTGTTACTGTGTAAGTCCTATCTCTTATAGTCAAAGTATTTATTTTGTAAATATAGAATGCAACCTACAAATTTTTGTGGAATAATATTTTTGGGGGCAGGCTGTACTTTCATAAATGAGGTTTAAAACCCAAACATGACCCGTCTGTATTTCCTGTATCTCAGCTTAGGCTGCGGTATCGGCTACGGCTACCTACACAGGATCCCGTCTCGTCCAGTTCCCCCGAATGTCCAGGACAGAAATGTTCCCCAACCAACGGCTACAGCTAGCAGGGAAGGGGTGACCTCGTCTGACCACAGTGAGGTACAGAGTTTGGTTATTTATGTTATTTAAACACACCCCTTACACACAATGGGCCTCATGCAACAAAATTTTCATATTGTCAGACGTTTCTTGTACTTTTTTTCCTACCATGGGCTTTTATGGACGCGATACATCAGATTCACCAAACATTCTTACCTTCAGGAAATTACCTGTTGCACTCCACCTGTGCATAAGTTAGCGCTCGTTCCTGAGAAATGTAAATCTGCATAATTACCACCCTGATTATTCCCTTTAACAGTGGCGTAACTTTCTGAAGGACTGATGCGGACATGTCCCCACCAACTCTGGGCATGGAGGGGACAGTCCCCACCAATAATTTCCTCTTTTTCCCCCTTGTCGCTTTGGGACATAAAATGATTTAGGGTCGTGGCTATTTACTGCATACAGAGTCGCTATGTGGAGGAGGAGAGATACCGGATATGGCAAGCCAAATTAAGCATACAGTCCGTGTCGTTTGACCAAATATGGAAAGCCGTTTTAACATAAATTCGCTGCAGCACTCAGTGAATTTTAACTGGCAGCTACTTCGATATATGTTTTAGTAAAAGTTAGGAGGCGGGTTGGTTAAAAACATCAGAGATGCCACCGAAAAATCTGTTCGTTACAAATACGGAGCTTTTTCAGCTTATAAATGGCAACAGTAAAAACAATTTATATAAGTAAAAACAAAAAGCTGGGCTTCTCAGGACCATTGCTCAGAGTTATAGAGTAAAATGAACACATATCTGTTTTTTTTTATTGAACAGAGAATCAGACTGCAGAGCTTCTAGAGATCCTGAAAATGATTTTCTCAGGCATCATTATATTGGTAGACAGGTTCATAAATCTGTTTTTAAGCAGAGCAGAGACACAATTAGGGACAGCTGCAGATTTAAAGGTGAAACAGATTAACTGGAATATGCAACATGCAATAAAATATATCCCCAAGTTTACCAGAAAAAATACACAATGCTATAATAAAATTCAACATATCTTTTTGCCTTTTGTAGCTCAAAGAGACTCAGAAATAGCTGTGCCAGCCAACCCAGAGACAGCCAGACTCACAGGACACAGACTTAAAATTAAAGTATAAGAAACCTACAAGAATTAAAGCACAAATAATAAAAATCAGTGTATAAATGATTTTTGAAATATAAGGTTCAATATATAGACTTTGGCTGTCAATGACATTTGGGACAAACTTCTAAATTAGATTTTGCTGCCCGGGAAGGAGGATAATCAGTGATGCATTTTAAAGGGAAGCCATGCATGGATGGGTGGATGAAAGTGAAGTTGTGTCCATACTAGGGATGCAGAATATATTGCTGTTGGCATCGGTATCAGCTGTTATACGTCATTTTTTATACATTAATGTTTTTGAGGCCTTTATTAAATAATGCACTAAAGGTAGACATCTGTCTGTAACTATAAATTTCACAAATGCATTGTGGTTCTCTTATGTTCTCAACAATATTAAGCATTCAATAAATATATGTTTGAGCTAATTTTTGGAAAATATAAACTCTATTGAAAGCGTTTCGGGTTGAGTAACTCTAGGTCCATCAGTCACCACCCATAGACCGTCCCCACCAACTTTTATCGCAAAGTTACACTCTTGTCCTATAAGGTCATGAATTCCCACGCCTCTGTGATTTGATGACATTCATAGAAATGGCTTTGAAGACAGAAGAAAAACTGCAAAGTCTCCCTTTAATACGCAAACCATCTACCATCCCTTCATCGTACTCTCCGTCTCTATCACAACACATAAACATATATGAAATATTGACAGCATAACTCTAATATAACAATCTGCGACAGACCTAAACCCAAATATTCTGCATTTAATGTAATAACAAAGCCAAGCCGCTATTACAGCTGTTAGTTCAATGGGTTTTTTTTCTATTGACGAAAGGACAAAAAATTAAAGCAATGTTTGCTGAATACTGACATGTCAGCTGCAAGAATTAACCGAAAGAAGAACATTTTAATTTATAATTGCAGAGTTGCGTGATATATAACGATGCAGCCTAATAAAATGGACAGTTGCTTCTTAGAGAAACAAATGTAGTCATTTAGTGAAAAACTAGGTTTGGATAACAGCTGACTGATTGGGCAAGACTCCTATATCAAGTCTGGAGCAAAATCGCTTTGTACCGATTAGAAACAGGAGAAAAATGATGAATGCGACATTCTCTCCTAAATCACTAAAACAAATGATTTAAGAACAAATTTGTTTGTTTGAAACGCTTCTTGCATGAAGCCCAATGTCTAATATCTGAATTTCTCCTCAGGTTCCTCCTCTGACTGAAAGCATCCTGATTAATGAAGCAGGTTTACCTGAAACTGGAGGAGATTTGCCTAATCTCAGTGAAATCTCACCCCAGGAGGAGTCTCCAGGTGAAAGTATTTATATCTTCTGAATTTTTCCACATTTTGTTCACATTACAACCTCAAACTTCAATGTGTTTTAATTCTTTTTATTATTAGAAATTTAAAAGAGCAAACCATTCTGTGGATCAACCATCATTCGAATTAGAGCTACACATATACTGATTAAATTTGCCTATGGGAATTCAACCTTCATTCTGATTGGATGGAGAACGCATTAGAACATCTTGCCACACATTTACTGTATTTACTTTTTGAATTGGACTTGGCGTTCCTAATATAAATAGTGACTTCCACCCGATTTTCATTATTAATTTTGCTGAAAAAATTTGAAATCTAAATATGTCCTTTTTTTTTTCTTAAAATAAGGGCGTTTTTTCTTGAATTGAGGAGGTGAGACCCTTTGCCAATAGACTTTGACAGTTTACATTTAAAATATGAAAAAAACGATTGAATTGTTTTATTTAAAGTGCAAGTTATATAATTATCTTATTTTAAGAGTAAAAATACTCATTCCATTGGCAAAACATCTTATTTACCTATTTAAATTAAGGGTAAATACACTTAATCTAAGACATTTTTACTTATTTCTGGATTGTTTTTGCAATGAGCCTGCCTCTAATAGCTTTTTATTCAGGATTGTACCCCATTTAGCTCTATTTGATCTATTTTACCAATTCTATGCATAATGCATCCACCACCATGCCTTACTATCTCATCTCTGACCTTCAAAGAAAAGTTTCCTTTATGCTGGAGTTAAAGATGGTCTCCGGATATAGTTGACTTCTGAAGGAAGTTTGTTGCAGCTGACTTTATATAGGAGTATCAGAATTAAAAGTCCTAACACATGCTGATTTATATTTTCTGCATTTATAAATGGCTTATGCATCATGCTGCTTTCAGATGTCTCCAGCAGTCCTGGAGCCTTTAACTCAGATTTGGCCAAAGCTGTTTCTACCATGGATGAGGGCCACAGCTCCATGTTTGCTAATTATGGAGATGACACGCGTGACCAATGTAGCTTTGGTAAGTGTTCCAGTCACTATTACATTTTGCTGTTTGGTGGAGTCAATTCATTATTTTCTATCCCTAAAAAATTACTTTACTTTACCTGTTTCTCCAGATTTAAAATGTAAATATTATCTGCTGAAAATGTTATATCTGGATGCATGGTGTAAGATCAAATTTTGGAATAATTGTACGTTAACGATATAATTATCTTTCATAGATGATTCAATTTTTGACCAAACATCTTCATCTAAAGAGAAAGAAGAAGCAGTCAGTCAAACTGAGCATGAGGGAGTTTTAAATCATAGCAGCAGAGAGGATGTGGATGATGCTTCTGCTGCCCTCAAAGATACCACAGAGCGCCTTGGGAGCATCCCAGAGAGGCAGACTCCTAACATGGAAGCTTTCAGCCCAGACCGCCTCTTAGAACAGGAGCTGATTGAGTCTGATGCGTCAGGCAGTTGAATAACTGCAGCAGAGGGAGAAAAAGGATTAGGAGTGATGGAGAAAAGCTACATTTGCTTCTTTTTCTTTTAAAGATTTATCACTGGACCTGTTTTTAAGTTAAATGACTTTTGTTTCTCCCTGTGCCACTACTGCATGCTGCATTGCACATTGGGAATTGATGTAAAGCATTTTGAATGTACTGTAATAAGTTTTAATATTTAACTATATGAAGCCTTAGTTGATCTGTTTAAAAAACAAACTGACTTAAATACATAAAAGAGGAGGCCAAGATTTTATTTTGTGGATTCTGGAATGTGGGATTAATTGATTGTCATCAGGGCCAAGTGTAATAATATGTTTTTTTTTTTTTAGTTTTTATTCTCAGGTATTTAATATTTTGTACTTTCTGCCATTAAGTGCTTACCTCAGAGTATTGAGTAGTGCAAAGGAGCAGCACACTGTTCCTGTTTTTTGTTTGAAATTATGTTTCCAGTTTCATTTGTATTAAAAAATGTATTTCAATGCTGGAAATGGTCGTGTTATCTCTATTTTAACAGACCTCAGAACTAATTGTTGAATGCTCAGACAAAACAAACGACTTTGAATCAATACCAGATTACTTCTAATTTAGCTCTTTAAAGCCCCATTATTCTGCAACCATAAGCAGCATAGCCTGTCATAGACGAATTAGCCATTCTCATGGTGGCTAATTGCCAATATAAATGATAAGAAAGAAAGTTTTGAAAAGTACTAAAAAGGTCTCTTAGATTTGTGCTGCCAAATGTAAATGTGATTCACTGTTATTCTACTTAAGAAAAGGTTATTCTTTGCCTTTTTTTTCGTTGATGAAGCCCTGATAATTACGACAAATTCAGTAAGTTGCATATTCTTAAGATGCAAGCTAATTATGGCATCTCTAACATTTTTCTGCATTTAAATAAGGTATTATACATGTATTTATAGAGATGCCTGACCATATTTAAGTTTGTGTAGCTAAAATAAAGAGATAAAATTGCTTGATATTCTTGAAGTCCAGGAGTATTAAGCAGATTATGCAGAAAGAATGCCATCTGATGAACGTATTGGATAATTTTAGAGTGAAAGACAAAAAATGGAACAACATAGTCACCCAGATTTACAAAAAAAATGTCACAAAAGTCACATAATCTTTTTCCTGAGGAGTTTGCTGGATATTATTTATATTTATGTCTATCTTAATAAATTTGTTAAGAATTAAGAATTGCAAAAAAGGAGAGAAAAAAATATGTTTACTCAACAGTATGCAATTATTTGACCTGCAAAAAGAAATGTTTTGTTAACACGGGATATAAACCTAACTGTGCTAAGCACCAAATAGAGTTTTTACTAGACAATTCAATTCAGTTTATTTATATAGCGCCAATTCACAACATAAGTAATCTCAAAGCACTTTACAGAAACAATTCAACCAGATCAGACAGTCAAAATGATTCAAAGTTTTCTATATAAGGAAAACCAGCTGATTGCATCGACTCATTGACTAGACAGCAATCCTTCACACCAAGAATACTTGTAGCGACAGTGGAGAGGAAAACTCCCTTTTAACAGGAAGAAACGTCCAGCAGAACAAGGTTCAGTGTAGAAATTCAATTAAGATAAATAAAAAATAACTTAAGATCTGTCTAAATTGAACAGCGGGTAAGATATCTAGATAATAAACTGTGTTCAACTTGGGGTTGGTCAAAGTATGTGCGTATGGATTACAGAAAGGGGGAGCCGACACATCCCCATATGAAGCTATGACCCTTTACTCTTTATTAAGAGGAATTTACACCTTAAAGCCTATTGGTGCAAAGATGCAACAAACCCTATGTACTACACAGCCAAGATAACACATTCCCCCCGTGCCAGTTATAAAACATTCAGTGTGGACCTAGGAACCTAAGGCAAATTCTTGTTTATGCTACTAATTTTTCCTGAAGGTGTTTGTTATTATTGAATGTTAAAAATGTCAGAAATTTTAAACATACCTACAAATTTATTTATTGTTTTAAATGAACATAAATAGAACTTTTAAATTTTTCATTTTAACAACTATTTATTAGGGGGTTAAAACAAAATCTTGGGCTATAAGGGAGGGGAAGGGAAGGGGTTAAAGGGATATCAATTTTTACCTTTTTTTTCTTCAAAACATTTTGCTCCCCATTCTTTCTTATAATTTATAGGCGACTTCTCTGATAATTTATGGATTTCACTACTGTTAAAGACATTTAAAGAAACTGTAAAAATACACGCACCAAACCAAATTTCATGAAATCCTCCAGGAATTTTCAGAAAGCCTTAAAAAAGTAGTCTTGGAAAGTCTTTAAGAGCAGGTAGGATTAGGAAACGCCTCATCAGTGAGTTTAGTTCCATATACAGAACATTTAAACTACTTTTTTCTTGGAGGATAACAGTTTAAAGGATTCATTACTCCACTTTTATCATCTCATTTTATCACTTAGTGACAAAGAAGAAAACACAATAAATCTGACAGGAGTCTTTAAAGTTTGGAGGAATGGTTTAGCAAAGGATTTGGAGCTAGAATAAAAATTACACTCACTTTAGCATCAGTGGTGTTTTTTGTGTGTGTTAAGGGCAATCTGCTTTGTGAATTTGTGAAGACAAAAAGCAAATTGCATAAAATACAAGACTCCATATGCATTCCTGATGTTCAATTAGGCTTCAAAAGTGAAGTTATGCTTTCAGGCAGCAGGGGTCAGCAAACACCCTCTCTGAATCCTTGCTGTGTTTTTCCTCACTGCAGCTTGGAAAAATGATGACAGATCAGGACTCACATTTTCACATCATGAATGGAGCAGCACTGCTAAAGTGATGTTTTGACTTACATCACATTTCGTGCAGAAAAACAGAAGTTATTGTTTGTTAAATGAGGTAGAGAATATGTTGGTTAATTATAGATGCTGTCTAAAAAACACAGGCTGCCAAACCAAGCAATGCCATTTATTATTTGTACAATTTGTACCTTTTAATGCACGTGACTGTAATCAACATTTTTTTTGTCTGGGTTATTTCCTTTTTTCAGATTTCTAATGAAAAAAACTGAGAAATTCTAACTTAATAAATAAAAAAAATAAAAAAAATTGTACAGAAGTAGTGTTTTTGGAAGATGTTTAGGACCACACAACAATGTCTTTGGATGCAAAAGACACAATTTATCTGTGTCTTTAACATGACAATGTAAAATTATGCTAATTTATATTCTGGATAAATAGGACCAAGTTTTTATAGCGCCAATTTTAAAATCATGAAGTTGATGAGCTCCACTAAAGCAGAGGGGGGATGTGCCTCAATTATTTACCAGGAGATCCTTAGACGAAGGGGGGTGGGGGGATGGGAAAGAACCCTGTGTGAATGGAAGAAAGAAAAAAAGATAGATTTATCTTTTCCTCCAGTGATGGTTTCCTCCAGTTTTGTCAAGGTTTAGCTTTGAGCCTACTGGGGTTTATATAAAAATCAGTCTCTGATTCTGCCTACAATTCTCAACTTCAAAGTTGAAATTCTTGAAACATTTTGACCTAAATCAAATATTCAGTTGTGTTTTTATATACCTGCATTGTGTCCTATGTGTGAAATAACAGCTTTGGTTGAAGCAGCTGTTTAAAGCAAAAAGCCAGCATCTGTGTGCCAGGAGGAGCAAGGAGGTGGGAACTACAAAAGGAGGCCAACTCTGGAGGAGAATGCCTTCCCTTCTTTTTCTCTCCTTTTCTTCTTAGGCTGTTTGAGAGGATGGTGTGACGCAGCTGAACCCACACGTCAGCCTGGTTTTATCTCAGCCCTCTAAGAGGCTCAGCTCACAGGGACCAGCATTCAGCCTCGCGCTGCAGCATCACAAATTGTGAGAGAGGATATCCACGGGGAAGGATAGCATTGCGTGCTGAAACATGTGAAGGGATGGAGCAAAAGACGTTGAATTAACATTCAGCGTTAATTTAAACATTTCAATGTTTGTGTGTCAATTCATGTATATGAGGTTTATACAACTGACAAAATACTGATAATAGACTCTGTTTTTGTGCACATGCAAGGGAACAAATTCTGTTATGCCCCAATATTTCAGTTGTCTGTTTTTATCACCTCCCCACCCTGATTGCAAACACATTGGCAAGATGGAAGCTGTACTTGGAAGTGAGGGGAGATACATTTACATACAAGATTCACACAGTATGCAAAACAAAAGGAAAAATCTAAGTAAGTGCTTGTCTGTGTTAGACCACCAATGCACAGACTATAATTAGATTCATTCATGTATGAGGACTGTCGCTGTGAGAGGTCTGAATTCATTTCAGGTTGTTTGCATATCTTGCAGCTGATTCAAAGAAGCAGCCGTTGCTCTGAGCAAACATCAGTTATTCCTCAGATATTTCTTGAATGAAAATTCCACAATTTTTTCAGCCTTTTAGGAAAATAAATATATTTTGGAAAACATTGAAAAACTGAGACTTGGACTATAAGGACACAGGAAGCCTGGAAGGACAGAGTACTTGAAACTTTACCTTTCAAATCCACACCATCCTTTAAATAGAGGCACCTATTGCTGCAATTAAGCTAAAAAATTCTAAATAACATCCTCAGGTACTGAATACAATACAGCTGTGTTGCCAAAAAGAATGTCAAATAGCAAACATCAATTGACAACTTTAGTTCTAGAAGTAATGGCTCATTTCTGTTAGCATCTAACTGTGCTAAATGGAAAAGACTGACTTGTCCATGAACAATACTAAACTTATCTTAAATGAGACCCAATAAAAGAGCTACTATTTACTAATTGATAAAGCATGGCACAGTGGTAGATCTTCCCAGACGAAGATAAAGGTTATAACATAAACAAACATTTGAATAAGGCTCATGTGCAATACTTAAAGGGCCCATATTATGCAAAATTAACATTACAAATATTACACAACAGTCATGTGTCCTGAGGACTGTGTATGACAATCACAAATGAAAAAAAATTATTGCCCTTTATGATGTCATAAGGAGATATAAGCTGTCCAGAGCGGTCTGTATCAGCTCATCGCCTAGCTATGGCCTTCATCTATGGTATTATTCCACGCTCATAGTTGTGGGGGTGTGGCCTTTGGGAGGACGGGGGCGTGGAAAGCGAAAGGAGCTCTTCCAGAGGAAGGCTGAATAAGGAGGTTTCTCGTACATGCTGATTAATCTGAGAGGGAACTGTCCTGTACAAAAACAAGCTCTGGGGGCTTCATTGTTAAAATGTTAATGTTCAAATGAAGCATAATATGAGACCTTTAAGGTTGTAGTTTATAACTTAACAATGCAAAATACACTGAGCAAAACTGCCTAAACAAACTTTGACGATCAACGAGACCTTAAAGAAAATATTTAGAGGACTGGCAGAATGAACAAAATCCAATTTTGGGACATTTGTTGGTACAGATCCTCGGCAACCTGCCTGTAGTGACTAGCATTCAGTCACTCAGCTGGGTGAGGGGAGAG